GCAGCCTGGTCACTTTTTAAGACACTTGTTATGATAACAATTGTATGATTGATGTATTGTGTTCAATTGTCGCAGACAACTCCCATCAAACACGCTACCACGCTACTTATATTGCACAGGCTGTTGAAATTCTACCAGTACTATACTATTATTAACGTGAAGACATTTCACCCCGAACGCACAGTATCATTTATACCAGCTCTAGAGCACCAAAAACTAGCTCGCCTTAAAAATGTTTCCTCTTCGGAAAGCTAGAAGCACACGCGAACTACTGCATTGAGGATATCAAATTTTAAATAAAGGTTATCATAATAAGAATATTATTTCTCACGTGTGCCAAGCTGTGCATTTATAAGCATGTACATATTGATGTTTTGTGTGAAGTGTTTTATAGTCTGCTCCTTCTGCTTCTCCTTTTCATTTTCACTCTTTCTATCCTAACCTGTTGGAAGGGGAGTTGAAATAATATGTACACACCCCCTCCGTCCAACACATGCAGTCACACCCAGCCACCACCGCTCCCATCACTACCACAACCACCACTACTACTACCATCGCCACTACTACCACCACCACTACCTCACCATCGCCACCACAGCTACCTCCAGTACCACCACAACTACCACACCAACCACCATCACCACCACAACCACCACTAACACCACTGCTGCCGCCACCACCCCTTTGGTCGTGAACTAGAACGCAATAACAGCTTGAAAGAATAAATACATGTATCTGAGAAGCCCGACAAAACAGACAAGCGGTCCTTTGGGGGTATTTTATATATATATATATATATATATATATATATATATATATATATATATATATATATATATATATATATATATATATATATATATAAAATAGTAATAATAATAATGCAATGTGTGTGTGTGTGTGTGTGTGTGTGTGTGTGTGTGTGTGTGTGTGTGTGTGTGTGTCGCTCCTACAAGTCGCTGAAATGGTAATATATATATACACAGAGAGAGAGAGTGAGAGAGAGAGAGATGGGGGGAGAGTAGAGAGGAGGGGTTGTATTCAAATAAATCGAAACCACATAACATAAAAGTGTATAGACACGTTTGAGACATGTGATTCTTGAAGATTTAAACCTAAACGAATGGAATATTATTGGTTGAAGATTTTAGACAGTTTCATGTGGATGCAGAATGGGGTGGGGTTGTTACTGTGTGTTAGCAGACGAAAAAGGAGTGAAATGCGCTCCCACCCCCTCCCCCGGTCACACACACACACACACACACACACACACACACACACACACACACACACACACACACACACACACACACACACACACACACACACACACACACACCACACCTGTCTGGCAGTGAGTTTTGTTCCATTTATTGTCCACTCATGAAGTCTTTCTGGCGTGGTCAAGTGTCCCAGATAATGTAGGCACTGATTACTAAAGAAGTGAAAATTGAGTGCGAATGTCAAACAAAACTTACCGCTCTGACACTATCCTCAGGTTCGTATTAGAAAAGACTAACAAATTCGTATCCCCAATAGCAACTTCTAAGAAATTTATCCCCCCCACACACACACCACTTCCCTCCCAATTCCCAGGTCTCCCACTCACAACGTGTAGAGAAGGAGAGATAGGGGAGAGGAGGTAATAAATGCACCCATTTCTCACAAGCAGGTGGCGCGCGCGACACCTAGATCTAGCTATAATGGTGGAATGAGTACTGTCCTGTCTCATGTCATGCACTTGTATATTTCTGTTTTCTCAATGTTTTCTTTTCCCCTCAATGCTGTTCCCATTGTTCCCACGCCCCGTTGATCCCTTTTATCAACACGTTTTTTCAACCTTTCTTTTCGTACTTCAAAATAAATGTGAGTCACTGCAAGATCAAAAATGGTTTTCTTGTTTGCGTTTGATATTACATAGTATAAGTTCTGCTTGTATAGCAGCATGCGACACGCATATCAATAAGCTTGAAATAAATATCGTGGCAAAAAGTTGGCTGTAAAAGTTTCGTACAGCAACAAAGTATTAAATGTATATAATCAAAGTAATACATGTATATAATTACCAATTGTTCTTTTTGGTATTTCGTGGTGGCTCCTCATATTATAACTATACGGTGGCTACAAATTATCTTTCATTGTGGCAAAGGCACATTATAATAAGTATCATGACAGTAAACGAAAATAGACTGTAAGTCACAATGACAATCAAAATTGACTGAATCCTTGAACAGAAAATTGCCGTCAGGGTCACACTAACAGCGTCCTTGTTATTTGCCTGTCAACATAATAATATGGCATCCGTTTTGTTTAATTTTAGTCAGAGTTTTCCGGAAATTCCAACACAAATACATTGTAGGTCATATAAGTGTCGAAGATAGGATGGGTTCATAAAAGTATGTATCGTAGAAAGAAAAGAAGTAGGAGATATAATGACGATAGATGTTTGAGATAAAAGAAGGTGCAAACCACTACACATCGCCCTCCGACCTTAAGGAAT